ATTTCATCGTTTTGGAATGTGTAAAAGTTGAAATCACAACAGATTTAAAATTTAAAATACACATAGTTTTTGGTAAGCTATACTTTTAGTACCAATTTACAGAGGATACAGAGAATTAAAACTTTACTTTCTCAGTAGGATATCAAAATTCTACAATACATTATAAAAGAATAATAAAAAGAAGTAAACTTCCTGGATAAATATAACAATATTCACATTATGGTGAACATATTACTCGAAATATTTGCAAATTTGAACTGAAGTCTATCACTTTTTAAAAAATTAATTTGCAGTATTTGTACCATGTTATGCGAAATGATATATGACGTACATCAAAACTCTGAATTTAGTATTTCTGAAGTCTAAAAGTATTACTACCACATATCAGTTTTGAAATCAATTTCCTTTCCTTTCCTTTAATAAAAGCCAATAAATCTCAGTCTTCAGATTTCAGCCTATTTGAGCCTGATACAGATATGCCGTGAGCATAGAGATTTGAACTTGCTGATTTACAACATATTGTTAGTTGGATCGTAAACTGATAAGTATTTTCTGCAACAGGAAAACCGTCCTTCTTTTGGAAGCTGATGTTCTCTTTTAAAAGGTTGACAAAAGGTTGAGAGGAGGTCAATATTTGTAGAGCATCCAGCAGTAGAAAATAACAGAGTACAGCTCCACCATTAATCTATATTTAATATGCAAAGCTCATATTTTAAAATGGGAGGAAGGACAGAGTTGCAATATTGTAATAAAAGCATACCTGTAGAAATCCTGACAAAATAAAACATACTGACTACAGTATAGTGATTTGAACCAGGTGGATCTTATTGACTATGAGATCCTTGATTGGGGTTGTTAACCGGGACCAATCAGGGAGCCCTGGGTAACAGATATAAAGAGTAGATTCACATTCTCTTCACTTCAGGGATTAACTCCGAGCTGGCTGGCCACAGACCAGATCACTGTAGAGGATGGCATATTACTACGGGGAGCAAGAGTGATTTTCCCAAGTAAAGGTTGCTGCCAGATACTGGCTAAGCTCCACCAGGGTCATCCAGGGGTTTTCAAGATGAATATGTAAGCAAGAAGTTCTCTCTGGTGGCCAGGGTTGGATGCTGACAGAGCCGTATTGGTGGGGGCAATGCCCAGAATGCAAACAAGAACAAAAATTGCTGCCACTGGTGTCACCACATTCATGGAAAGGGCTGGGTAAACCCTGGACTCGATTACCTGTTGCCTATGCTGGTCCTGCCACGGGCTCAATGTTCCTGATCATTGTGGAGGCCCAAAGTGGTTGGGCATGCAGAGAGTTCATTCGGCAAACTTGGGGATGACGATTGAAAAGATGCAAACATCGTTTGTGATATACCGAATCCCAGAAGTATTGGTCATGGACAATGGGACATCATTTACCGGCAGAGAATTTGAGTATTTCCTGAAATCAAATGGCACTCAGCATGATTCGGGCAGCTCCATAGCATCCATCGTTCACTTGATACCAAACTGTCCGGGTTTCTGTTCGATTATAGGACTAGCCCTCATGCAACTACAGGGATAGCTCTAGCAGTGTTGTTGATAGGGAGAAGACGCCAAGTTAAACCTGATATTCCCAGACCTGGGGATCAGGATGAAACAGCAGGAGAAATGCCAATGCTGGACACAAGACTCTGCTAAGCGAGTGAGACAGTTTACTTCAGGGGACGAAGTTTGGTGCTGGAACCACGGAAATGGCCCTGCATGGGTGAGGCGAGATCGAAGCAAGGTCAAGTTCTGTGACACGCAAATTTTGAGGGTAGATGAGGCAGTCCTAAACAAATATGTGCATCACCTGAAAGCTGCCACCTCACAAATGGGGCAGCATCAAACATACAACAGCCAGAAGGCCTGTCTGAATCCGTGACTTCTCCCCATCTGTCTAGTGTCAAGGAAACCTCGCTGTTTGAGACTGTTGCACCTTGATACCATTACTGCCTGAAGAAGAGGAGGAAACTCTCCTGAGGTGGTCCAGACACAAGAGATGAGCTACGGGCTTAAAAATGCCGTCTGTGTCGGAGTCCGAGTCAGAGGAACTGGACAAAGTCAGAGGAACTGGACATGGGGTGAAAACATCACAGGAAAAGCTACAAGAAAAGGACCAGGCCTACATCTCCAGAAGGGGTGCATTGTAGAGATTGGAATCAGGTGGATCTTATTGGCTATGAGATTGTTAACCTGGGCCAATCAGGGAGCCCTGGGCAACAGATATAAACAGGAGATTCAGAATCTCCTCACTTCGGGGATTAACTCTGAACTGGCTGTCCACAGCCAGTGTACTGTGCACACACATAAATAAAGGGTCATTGGTAACAGGATACTGGCCTCTGTGCAGTTATTTCATACACAGACTTTCATCTTTTGTATACTAAATATGGAGGTTTTGGAGATTGGGGGTGAGAGGATGGTATAGGAAGTGCTGGTGAGGGAGGGGAGGTTTGAAAGAGTGGTAGTCACAGCTACATGATATCACATAATTAAAGAACTGTTGAAATGCAGAAGGAGGCCATTTTGTCTATATCGACTATTCAAATGCTCATTTCGCTTTATGCCATTCTTCTGTCTGTGCACTGTAATCCCGTACATTTGGTCTTTTCGGACAACAATTTAATTCCCTTTTGGATGCTTTAATTGAATCTACCTCCACTCCACTCCCTAGCAATACATTCTAGACCTTAACCACTCACAGCATTAATAATTTTTTTCTCCTATCATTTTTGTTACCATTTTCAATTACTTTATATCACGGTCATTTCGTTCCCAAACCATTCATCTCCAAAAAAAAGTTCTAAATTGTTCACATTACTTTATAACTTGAATTCATTGAATAATTCTTACCAATCTTTTCTGCACTCTTTCCAATACCTTTACAGCCTTTTGAAAGCGTGGCGCCCAGGACTGTGTGCAATACTCTAGCTCAGGTCTAACTAGGGTCTCATACAAATTCAACATAATCTACTTGCTCCTGCGTTCTATGCCCTTTATTGCTGTGTCAAAAACTATCATGTTTGTTCAGCCTGTTCTCTGCAAAGTTTATATTATCTTGGATTTTACAAATTAGTTTCACTGAGCTAATATAAATAAAATTAATAAATCAAATGAAAACATATCTTTTGAATTTAAAAGTTGTATGAAGCATCCCAACCTCCTCAATATTCAGCCCGATGCTTCAGGTCTATGATCCTTCAGTATAAAATGTACAATGTACATGTAGGTTGTGTTCTGTTGGTTAACAATTTGAATATAATTTCTTTGATAAATTGAAAAAGTGTAATTAGTCAAATAGCCGGGGGCCTGCCCACAAATTCATGTTAAATGGAGCTTCAAGAGAGCTGAGGACACCATATGTAACTTGCTTTGCCTGCAACAAGAAAATATAGTAACACAGTAAATGTGAAAAATGTCTTTATTTTTCAAGTTGTCAACACGTTACCATGGCCTGACCTTGTGCAGTAAAAATAATTGAAAAGCATTGGAACTTAGCTCTGGAAAAGTCAGTAATTTGTAATCTGCTTAGCATGCAGTCTTCTGCTACATTGTCAATGCAGTTAAGCATATTTTCCAGCTTCCGTGCTGCAGTGTGGAATCCTAGAAGACCTCGGTGGCCTTTATGGCTTCAGCTGTGGAAACGGGTGGCCACTCACCAGATTCTTCAGGGCCATCAGGATGATAACCTTCCTTTTCTTACGTTGATACGTTTTGTCCATTTTCCTGATCCTTGCTTCAGAAATGCTGGCGATCAATCACGTGCCTCTCTGAGCATGTGTAGTCTCATTATGTTTGCAAAACAGTATGGCTTCTTGGACATTCCTATCAGTGACAGCTTTTCAATGCCATCCTGCAACGGCAGGTTCTTTGCTTTACTTTCTGTCATTAAATATTTCATCTTTAAGCAGTAAACAGCAATCTAGCAAAAGACAGTAAATCAGTCTATTTTCATGGATATTAAAAATGTTCCTTGGTGCATATTCATTTCGGATGTGGGTGAGACCATTTTGCAGCTAATATTACAAGTTTGCTATGATTTTGGCTCTAGCATGTCCTGACACCAGTCTGATTGATTTGAGCAGTTACACAATAAAGCGTGTATAAATTCTGCTAATCCAGAGTTATCAGTCCAGAACTTCGATTCATCACAGGCATCCTTCTATTAGATTTCCTGTTCTGCCCACAGAATGGCTGATAACCTGAGTCAGAGTTAAGTTATCTGAATTTGACTCATCATGATTTCACTGTATTTTAATGTAATTATTGAATTTATTTCAAAATGCTTAAACATACGTGTCTAAATACTTCAAGTTTTTTTAATGAAGGTTAATGTCAATAATGTTTCACAAAACAATTTAAACTCTTGTTTTATCGCGAAAAATGCTTAGACCACTAATTAATGCTTTTTACATCAGTGCAACATCGTTGTATTCTTCAATGGAGATTTTTGAACAATAGACAAAAGTAGCCAAACATAACATAATCCTAGATAATTTAATTCCCCATCTATGATTAGCATCTGCAACAGATGAAGTATCAGCGACAGTAACTCCGATAAACAGACATACCACAGCCACATGACTTAGTGCAACAGAGTGGGCTGACCTGTTCTGAAATGTTTATTCAATTTAGTGCTTCTGAAAGGAGCTCAATTAGTTGCTGACAAGAAATAATATAGAGATCGAGTCATACAAGGAATATATGGTCATCTTTAATTTAAAAAAGTGAATGAAACATCCCAACCTGCTCAATAGGACTGTGAAAGTTCTGCAATGTGTTTTCAGAGGTGATGACTTAAGTACAATTGGAGCTGAATTCTTCAGTGCACAGTACTTTGAGCAAATTGCTCTTTCCAAACTCTTTCCACTCGCTTGAAGAAGGTTACTCGACATTTAAACACCCTCGTACTTGCCCTTCGCTACGTCCCAACGTATTGATTTACAGGCAGTTACATCAGCACTTTTCTAAACGCCACTAACCTTGATTCTTCAAAGCATTCGGCACGAATGTCGGTCGCTTCCCCCGCGGCACTTGCCCGGAAGGAGCAGGCGTCACGTTTACCTGGTTGCTGGAGGTAGATGCAGCGACAAATGCCTTCTCACCCCAGATCTTGGCGGGCACGTTTGCGAGCCGCTCCGCTGCGGTCTCAGGTGCTCGTCGGCAGCGGCGCGCCACTGTCACACGGTTCGCAGCCACGCGCTCCCCCACTGGCAACAAGGGCGATTGTCACAGCGAGAGGCGGGCGGAGGTGGTGGGCTGGAGCGCGTCACTGTGCGAGAGCGCGCGTGCCCGTCAGCACGGTCCAGGCGCGCCCCCTGGCCTCCCACGGGCTCGAAGCTGACGGCCTGGGACGGTCCGCGCGCCCCCACCCCTCCCCCCTTGGACCTACCTTCCCTGTGAGTTACCGGGAGGTTCCGCTTTACTGCGCGCGCGCGCACACATACACAGAAGTATACGCACTGTGGTCCGCGCGCAACTTTTATTCTCATTTGTCACGATCCTTGTTTTCCACCCTTTATTATTGAAGTTTCCTCAAGCTGAGGGGGAGCTCCCAACTTCCCACGCAAATCGCAACTAGCTTTTGGCACGCGAAAGCAAGTCTTTACAGGGTTTTTGTTTGCACTTTTTGAACGATAGCTCTGCACTCAGCACTTTTTCCACTTGTAAAATGGTCAGAAAGCATTGAAAATGTTGAACACTCAAGAAACTTACATGGGACAATCCGCATCTGTTAAAAAAAAATTGACTATTTCTCTGCGTTCGAACATTTGTAGTGCAGGAAGATAAAAAGACTTAATGACATCGCAGCCTAAATTGAGGTGACAAAAGCATGGAACAGATAGTACTGTTCTTGGAAGACTTATAGATTTTCTATATAAGTACGGCCTTATGGAGATTGCCACTGCTGGTACCTCGAAGTCTCTACCATTTCTGCCAATATTTCGCTACACCAACTTGGAGTTTTTGCAAAAGAGACACTTCTTGTATCAGGTAGTTAGCACCCAAAGGGTTAATTGACATTATGCCAATCAGAATCTATAGGATGGTAATGGTCTTGAAGTGTGCCTACCTCTGAGCCAGAGACTTTGGGTTCCATTCCCACCTATCCCAGAGGTGTGTCATAACATGCCTGAACAGATTGATTTAAAATAATTGTATAAGACCGTTCCTGGGAGGAGATAACTAGTTCTGCGTTTCTTGACAATGTTTTACTAGCAGCAAAATGGACTTACTCATAAGTTGAACCTGATGGTTCACAAGAGACCATCTTGTATTTCAGATGTAATGTAACTATTAAGTAATATATAACAAATGTATTTACTGTTTCACAAGAATTACTCTTTCTTCTGCTGAAAAGATTGTGTAGGCATCTTCCCCATCATGAACTCAGAAGCGTGGACTACTACCACTAAAAAGAGTTGGTGGCAGTGAAACTACTGAGAACTTCCATTATAATATGCGTCAATAGTGATCACCTGAAGAATTAATTTAGCTGCCCATTACAGTATACTGGTGGCGGTGGACATCACTGTCTCACATAATATGGTAGCAGCAGTGAGCACAACCTGAAGAAATCTTCAGAACTACAAACACCACAGCCATCCAAAGAAAGTAAGAAAGGCAATACAGTGTGGAGCTGGAGGAATACAGCAGGTCAGGCAGCAGGAAAATCAACGTTTTCCGGGTTTACACCCTTCACCAGGACTGTCAGCACCTCCACACCTTGCTATCTCCGAATAAGGAAGGCAAACTCCTCTCAGGAAACTAAGTCTATTTTTAAATATCAGCAACTCAAAAGTGCACAGATTCTGTCAGCTTCTGTGAATGAAGCAACCAACAATTAAATGAGCACCAGCACTGACAGCAAGTCCAATGCTGCCAGTAAAAGCTTAAAATAGCTATAAATGGAGAAATTAGTAAAAAAAAAACTTGAGTAGGCCATGGAAAGTCTTAGATTTACAAGGGAAAATATCCAAATCATAAAACCAGATTACAGTTGTTGATTTCAGACACCTAACGTAAATTAAAACCATTAGTATTTGGGCAAAATTTTGTATATTTAAGGTGGATGTCTAGCCTATATCACTGAAAGAAGATTTAAAATGCTACTTAAGTTGATCAGCACTGTTATAGTTGTTTTAAAATATCAGGAAAAGCTGCGAAAAAATCTTTATATAAAGGACACTCATCAAGAACATTGGGAAAACAGCAGTATAAATTGACTGATAAACATGGAAAAATTGAACATAGAAAAGTTTATGAAAATTGTTTTGAAGGGGAAAAATCAACTGAAAGTATTTCTTTATGAAGTGTTAACTTTCAAGCAAAATAGTGCAGAAAGCTCAGCGAAGAACCAAATGGGTGAATCATCCATAGCCTTAAAAAGGGCAATTAAATCATGAAGAGGTATGGGGAAATGGTGCAAATTAACAGTTTTCTTAGGAGAGAATATTAATATAGTATTTCTTTATTTTAAAACATTTCGGTGTTATTTAAATGTTTGAAAATAATTTTTCAGCATAAATAGGATAATTCTGAAATATATAGAAATTTTTCAACTTTGACATGAATTAAGAAGATTTCTGAAAAGGAAAATAAGAAAATAGAATATAAAATGTTTGCAGGCACCAAAAGACCTTAAGGATAAAGTTTTATTAGCAATTCATCTTCATTTTCTAGTGCTTAAAGAAAATGTTGCAATCTTTAGAAAACGTGCTGAAGAAGATTCAGCATCTATTGAAATTGAAGTGGTTATATAATTTAAAACAATGAACAACAAAACCAACTATATGTACAAAAAAATACAAATTTCTTGCAACAGCTCTCAAGTAAATAATTTCAATAGGAGAAACAGTGGCAGTTAGATACAATGACAATGGAGAAAGATATTACAACTCCAAACAGAATTTAGATCACAAATCCTTCAGACATGGCATTGCACTGCACTATATTGAAGAGATAATTCATGCAATATAGACAACACAGTATGGAGCTGGAGGAACACAGCAGTTCAGGCAGCATCAGAGGAGCAGGAAAGTTGATGTTTTGGGTCGGGACCCTTTTCTGAAGAAGGTTCATGAATTGTCTCTTCGATATAGTGCAGTGCAATGCCCTGTCTGAAGGATTTGTGATCTAAATTCTGTTTGGAGGTGTAATATCTTTTCTGAAGAAGGGTCCTGACCTGAAACGTCAACTTTCCTGCTCCTCTGATGTTGCCTGACCTGCTGTGTTCCTCCAGCTCCATACTGTGTTGTCTCTGACTCCAGCATCTGCAGTTCTTGCTATCTCGCAATATAGAATTGCTTCAGGATTGCACAAGAAAGCCAGAGAAAAACAAATAATACATTTTTTTGCTTTTTAGGTTCAGTTGCTATTTCATGCTTTAAAAACCAAAATGTGTGAGAAAAACATACGCCTTGATAATATTGTAAGAGCATGTAACAATTACTTTATGTCAAGTACCAAGTTTATAATGAAAAAAGTAAAATTTTAATAGAAGAGTGCAGCTTCTTGGAAAATCTGTTGATAATGTTACTAATGATCTTTGCACATTGTCAGATTTTTGTGATTGTGGTGTCTTGTAGCCAGAACACTTGCAGGACAGAATAGTCATTGTGTTTTCTGATTCTTTTCTTTCAGAGGATCTCACATTTGAAAAACATATCCAGGGAGAAGCTGAAATTCAAAAACTGCACAAGAGAATGATAGAGACAGAAAGACAACCTAGCCTAAGCCATATCCCATCAAATGTGTCAACCATCCAAATAGCTCAAAGTGCTACAACCCTATCATTCAGCCATCAGCAAACTCTATTAAATAAGACTTACTTTTAACACTCATTGTTTCACCTCACCATCACTAAATTAGATCTGCTGCAAACCTCATGTCCATATTTCTCAGTTTGCACAAAGTCAAGCAAGCTCAGTTTTCTGCCATGCAAGCTGCACTTACTGTCATGATAATTATCATTATGTGAATACCAGAGTATAAAGGGACTTGCAGGGTATCACAGCAATTAAGCAGTATGCTTTCCATCCCAGCAGGCAGATATAACACACAGTTGTGCAATTAGCAAATTTAATTGCATCACAAAGGCTAGAATGTTCAATTCCACATTAGTAGCAGCATTCTGTTGCATTAACAATTTGGGCGACTGGTTGGGGTGATATCCAGCATTTGCTTCAGGAGACCTGCTTGATATTTTCTAAGGGATCCAGGCTGTGTCATGGATCACCCACATTGGGTTTGAGGTCAGTCAGGTCTCCAGGAGTCAGTGATTGTGGCACTTGTTGCTTCAGTTTTTGCCTACTGTCAGGTCTTCGTTGAACCATTTCCAGGAAATAGGCCACCTCTATCAGAAGGTATGGTGAGCACAAGGTGATGATTCATGGGAAGGACTGAATCTTGTCCAAAGAAGAGATTGTGTGCAGAACAGCCCATGTGTCAACGTGGGATGATATGATGAACATCCCTGCTCTGGGATGTACTCAATGCGCTTTTGTTTACTCACAGGAGCCAAAGTGTGCAGACACTGATGCACACTGTCTGCTACCCTCTGGACGATGGGGGTGGAGTGGCTCTTGACAATGGCATAGACCTTGCAAAGCTCCTGTAGGACTTTGTTCTGTAGGTTGCAAACTGATTGCTGTGATTCAAACAGCACACCGAAATAGAAAAACTAATCATGCGTGAACACTCTGGCAAAAGTTGAGGCCTTTTGGTCATGGTTAGGAATGGTCTTCATAAACTTGGTGAAGACATTTGTAAGTAAGAAAATCTGCTCAGCCCCATTTCTACTGGAGTCTAGAACTGCAAAATCCAGTGCAAGGACCTCTAGAGGTCTCTTGGTGACAAGGGATCCCATGCTGGGGTGAAGTTACTTCTCTGCTTTCCCCAAAGTACACTTCTCACAATTTTTACAATTGTCATTAATACCAATAGCCATTCCGTGCCAGTAGCACCGCTCTCTCACCTAAACACGTTATCTTTTTCCATTGCTTGATGTTTTGCTTGATCATGAACTATGATTACTGAGGCTGACAAGAAGGATGAGTTCCTTTACCTTTCTCTCCTTGTCATGAATTAGTTGATAGAGGACTCCATCTTCCTCCCTGATCCTCTTTCAGCACCTAAACAGTTTCTGTGCCAGTTTGGACTTCCTCATTAGCTGGTGCGAGGTTGCTGATTGTTATGCCTTTCAGTCATAGTGCTGTCTACTGATGTCCAAGTCAATCAGCTGAAGCTCTGAAGTCCTCTTTTGAGATAGATGGTGAAAGTGAAATCACATGTGGCTCGACCTGTCTGGATCTGGTTTGGATCTTGCTCATTGCATC